CTTTTGTGTGTTCTGGTGGGTAGTGGGCAGGGGTGGTCAATGTTAACTAGCCCAACTCAGGTCTCCCCTGTGGGCAGGTGTACTGGTCGGACCCAGAAAGGTCCTTCCAGTTTCCCTTCTCCAAACTGTTCAGACTCAGCCTGCTCACTTACAATGACCTGATCAGTGGAAGTCCCGCAGAAGTTATTCCTCACTTGTAATATACTTCCTGAGCAGTCCACCCTTCCCATACCTTCTGTTCACTGCACAATCTCCCATTGCTCCCATACCTGCGAGCACATGGGTTCCCAGGCCCAATCCTCTTGAGGTTTGGTATGTTGTCCTGGAGCCCTATCCACTTGCCTGCCTGAGACACAAGTATGTGCACTGCTCCCCAAGGTCCACTCTTGTAACATTGGCAGAAGCCAGCTCTGGCCAAATAAATAAATATGATTTATTTATTCAAAAAGCAGAGTTATGAGGGGGGAAAAAGGGCATTCTTTCCACCTGTTTTTGTCATTGCTTAAGCTGGAACAGGCTGATGTTGGAGCTTGAAAACCCGTCTAGGACTCCCATAAGGACGAGAGGAATGCAAACACTTGGGCCTTCTTTTGCTGCTTTCCCAGATGTATTATTATATGGCATGCACAGGCAGCAGCTTCACGTACTATGTCATAACACTGGCCCTTAACACTGAAAAATCTAAAGTCTGTATTTGACCTAGAAATCCAAAATGAAACACTCTTATGCCTAGTATGAAAGCCCCATAAGACTGACAGGTTTATCATTTTTACCCAATTACCAGGGTTATGACTACAGTCAAGCCTCCCTGAGGGAGTACAAGTGACAAAAGTGTCTAGATTAAAATACTAAAAATATTTTTAATAACAAAATGAAAACCATAATAACGAGTCTCCCTGTCTCATAACTTAGAAAATTCACTGTAATATTTACTTTTGAAAGTAGGCGATACAAAAGCCAGCAAGGTGGCACATAAGGTTGATCCTCTGGCATCCCTTAAGGGCGGCATCAGTTCCCGTCTTGGTTTCTCCAAATCCAGTTGCTTATGGCCTGGGAAAGCAGTGGAGGATGGCCCAAGTCATTGGGACCCTGCACCCACATGGGAGAACCATGAAGCAGCAGATGGAACCTTTCAAATAAAAATAAAGTAACTTTAAAAAGAGAGGAAGAGGTATAAAATAGCAATTTAAAGAGAGTTGCTTAGCAATGTGTGGTGAAATTTACAAGGTTCTATTCTTTCTTTTGCTAAAGTATTCATTATGAATGCAACCAATTTTCTGTAACATTAATTATCACAAAATCTACTTAAATGATGAAAACAAGAGGCCCCAATGATTTTTTTTTCTTTTATAAGATTTATTTATTTAAATTGAAAGTCAGAGCTACAGGTATGTATGTATGTATGTATGTATGTATGTGTATATATTTATACACACACACACATAGAGGGAGAGAGATCCTACATCTGCTTCTTGACTCCCAAAAGCCTGCAAAGGACAGATCTGAGATGATTTGAAGCCTGAGCCAGGAGCCTCTTTTGGATTTACCATGTGAGGGTGGTGTCTTAAGGAATGGGCCATCCTCTGCTGCTTTCTAAAGCCATAACCTAGAAGCTGGATCAGAAGTGGAGCAACCAGGATAAAACAGACTCATTTGGGTCATCGAAACTGCAGGCAAACAGCATGTCAAGCCACTGTGTCAACTGCAAGAAACCCCAATATTAAACTACTAAATGCCTTTAACCATCAGTAAGTACTATTGGTTGTTTTGTTGCTTAAAATATGCTTGCCAACTACAAAAACCATTAAAATAATTTCCACATGTATATAGATTTTAAAAACAGTACATGTTATGGTTATATTTGTAGCAAATATAAAACATGATTAAGAGTGACACTAAGTTCATAATTTTGTCTATGTCTATAAGAGGAAGTAATATGGTACCAGCAAACAAGTTTATTATCTTTAATGTTCTGACTGTTCTAAAATACATGCCCAGGCGTTTGTGCTATTGCTAAAGACGTTCCTTGGGACACACAGATCCCGTATCAGACTGCCTGAATGTGTTTTCCAGGTCCTGGTTTCATCTTGTACAGGCTCAACCTATTGTGGGCATTTGGAAAATAAACCAGAATAAGGAAAATCTCTGTATCTCTGTCTTTCAAATAAATAAACACTTCAAATTATATATAAATCTGTATCTAACTGAAATAAACCAAAATATTAACATGTTACTACTTATATTTTTCTATATTTTGTTTTTATATTTTAAAATTAAAAAGGATGCAAAGAAAATTTAAAGCATCATTATAGCTGGTGATTTTATTATGAAATTTTCAGAATTGAGCAGATCTAGTTAACATAAAATACACAAAGATATAAAGCAACTAAATAACATGATCAGCAAGCCTGACAATAGAGACAACATTGAATGTTGTATTTCAGAGAATATTAAATTTTACATCTTAAAATAGAGCTGGAATAAACCAATTAGCATTGGAAAACTCAGAAAACAAATTAAAGATCTATCATCCAGAAATAACTGTTTTACAGTTTCATATGAGCTAACTTTCAAAGACCAAATGATTCTAATGCTATTTGAAATACTTTAGACCACAGGAGAAGATTGTAAATTCACCAATTCATATATGTTAAAGTTTGCAAAAACTTAATAAAACTTGTTAATCACAGCATAAAAAAGTACACTTTCACTTTGGAATGTAAATTGGATAATTCTAAATAAAATATTAATAACTAAAACACAGCACTGTAGCAAATGATGATTTTACTATAATTAAGTAGAATCTGTCCCAGAAATGCAAGTTTGATTTAACATCAAATAACTGTCATTCTAACTCATTATATCAACTACATAACCAATGCATGCTGAAATGATATTTGACAAAATATATTTGATAAAATATAATAGCCATTTCCGACATAACAACATTATGCATAACAAGAATAAGACATTTCTAAACATACTGAGTTTTTTTTTTCCAATAACCAATAGTACATGGAATGCTGATAAGGAATACAACAGGCCTCTTCATTTAAAATTAAGAGAACAGACATGTCTTTCATCATTATGCAACACTGTTTCAGAGAATCCAGCTAATCTAGAATACTCAGCACAAACATTAGAAAAAATGAAATGGTATCTATTTGCAAGTAAAGTAGTGCATATGCAGAAAGTCTAAAACATTCTATTTTTAAAAAAATTGTTGTTATTTAGAAGATTATATAAGAATACAAAAATCTGTTGGTTTTCTCCTTTGCTAAAAATAAAAAGATACAAATGAGAACAAAATAGTCAATTCCTAATGTCAAAGTATAACAGCTATAAAATACTCTATATGAAGAATACAACAAGACCAAAATATTGAGTGTTAAGGACCAATGTTAATTAATTAATCCTCTAATCAAGAATGCATAAATTTAATACAGTACAAATTAAGACATCACACTCTTAAGTGTTGAAAAAACACTTTCAATTTTCATATGAAAGAATCAATATTTAGGATAGATCATCTTTAAAAAAAACACTACTGAAGGAAAATTTGCTTTGTCAGACTGTACAATGTATTGTCAGGTCTATATAATTAAAACTACTTGATTTTGGTTCTGGAATTTGAAAGCAGCCATTTTAAAAATAAATGGTACAAAAAAATGGTACAAATACCCAAGTGAATGAAATGTAAAACTGGATCCCTATATTATGCCATATGCTAGCACAAAAATAAATTTCCGATGAACAAAACATTTTAAATTTTAATAAAAAGAAAAACTTTAGAAAAAAAAATGAAGACTTGTATCACTTGGGATGGCAGCATCCACCTGAAAAAGAAAGGAAATCAAAATCTATAAGACATATAGTTGTCTACCTCAAATTTGAAATTTTAAAGTAAAAGATATCATCAATAGTCAAAATTAATAACATAACTCATGTAAGCTCTAGGTGATTAAATGCTATATAGTAAGAATTCCTAAAACTTTATAAGGAAAAGATGAACAATTCAATAGATAAATGAGCAAGAATAAAACTTGACAAATCACAAAATAGAAAGATCTGAAAGAAAAAGAAAGAAGGAATTCCAATTAAAGCCATACAAAGTGGTATCATATAATTGTTTTCAACTTTCAGATTTTTAAGAATTAAGAAGTCCTGCAGGATGCTGGAAATGGGCACTATAATTATGCGTGGTAGTCTTGTAATAATTCTTAAAGAAATACCTATCTAACATTTCTAGGAATCCAAGCTACAGGAACAGAAACACCAACATATATATATGTTGCAGCAAGGTTAAAATGTTTCAAAAAGCAGCCTATCAACAGTTAGCTAATTAACTAGCAAATTGAATACCTTTTCAGTTGAATATCTTTTTTGGTACATCCACATGACTGTATATGCAGTTGCTTGTGGAAGGAGGGAGGGAAAATGGAGGGAAAAGAGAGCAGAGGAGTGAGAGATGGAAACATGGGGGAGGGAGGAAGGGAGGCTGTAGCTGCTTATCTGGAAAGATGTATCTATTTGCCAAGTAAGAGAAGCAGTTAAAGAAATGCATGTGGCTTGACATTTTTAAACAAATTATCACAGAAACCTTCTGTATGATGATTTGAAAAATATACACAAGCATATCTCAGCATTTGCTACCTGGCTGGAAGAGAAGGGATAGGTAAGGAGAGGCTGGGCAACGGCATGACATGAAGTCATTCCACTGCTTTTTATAACTATTGCATTAATACAATAGTTGCAAACATTTTTAAAAGTTATCCATTAGTGCCCAGTTTAAATGTTCAATTACAAAAGGAAACTATCAAAAGAACAAAACTATACTTGGGGCAAAACTGTGGCTGCTACTCAATGTAGGATATCTAGGCAAAATATTTATTCATTTTCCTGAATTTAACACAAAAACTTGTCTCAAAGTTCACAAGCCAGAGAACACGAAACAATTTACATGTAATATTGCCCAATTTTTTACAAAGACCGTAATGAATTTAGGGAGTTTTCACCAAACCGTAAACGTAGATGTGAATATCATCATCAAATTTAATGAAATAAACAGACGGCTTAGCCACCACTTGATGGATGAAAATGCCGGTTCTCTTGGATCCATCATCTTTGGCGTGCTCCACTTGCTTGCCCACGAGGCTGTCGACCACCTCCCCAGGCTCCCTTTCTGCGGTGGGGAAATAATAGTTGGAATCTGGAATGATGCGTAGGTCTCCATCTTTGTAATCATCCAAAAGAGTGTACATATAGAGGACCGGATCTTTTTCATAGGTTATGTAAAACCAAGTATCCATCACGGGGGCTCTCGCCAGGACCATACCCCTCCACTCATCTTTCGTGCCATGCTCGCCTTCAAACACATGCCCCACTGCCTTCCCAATCAGAGAATCTGCCAGGCGAGAATCGATGCGAGGAGTTGGTACTCTCTCTGGAAGAATCTCCAGCGCTAAAACTCTCTTATCTCGATGCAGTTCTAATCCATACACACTATCCTTGCCATCATATTTAATGATGTAGAGAGTGGGCTTTACCGAAACCTGCTCAAGTACAGTGCCCTTCCATTGCTCCACAGGCTCGTTGCCTTCCTTCCAGCCGTGCTGAATGCGGCAGCCAACGATGTTCCTGCGAGTGAGGAAAGTGGGCTTACGCCGTTGCTTCCTGTGGGTGTGCCTTTTCTTCATCAGGTATGCGGACACGCCATCTACCCCCATCGGAGGAACAGTTGGAGGAGACATAATTCAGGCTTTAAGAAGATTTGGGCAAAATTGCTGCTTGTTTGGTTAACACGACAAAAAGTCAACACTATCCAATATGAGAAGGGATTTTTTTTTGGTTTTCGTGTTTCGGTTTGTCTTCCCTTCTCCAAGCTAAAGTTTTTCACCAGGGAAACACAGAAATATTGTAACTAACCGTGAACCCTGGAACAGCACGCGCCTCTCAACAGTTATTTCCCTCTCTTGTCTGGGAGGGGTGACTGCAGCTGTGGCGGCTCCCGCTAGAGATGGCGGGCTGGCGTGCCGCTGTCTGTGCCTTGCGCCCTCCCAGGCTTCCCAGCCCAAAGTCCCGAATGGGTCACTTAGCTGTCAATGCTGCTGCGGTGGCGGCAAGGCGACTGAAAACGAAGCAACCGGGAAGGCAGGCAGTTAACAAGGATGGCTGCGGTGGCAAATGTGCAGGCAGCGGCAAGTCTCCGGCCGGAGTCAGTGAAGCCCGGACTTGGCAAAGCTGGCTTCGCCTCGGTCTGGCGCCGCGGTTTCTGCCGCTTCGGGAACCCGCCCCCTCTGAGCCCGCCTGCATCTCGGCCCCGCCCCCCGACCATCCCGCCTTCCGCTCGGCGGGCTGCTGCTGGGCGGGTCAGCGCCGGTCAGTGCGCGGGCCCGCGCTCAGTCCACACTGAAAGGCACGATCTTTCCTTCATTTCCTCTGGCGGCCCCCAACCCCCGCCCCCCCGACCGTTTCTCTGTAACTCCCTGGAACTGGAGCCAGACAGGCGGACTCCCTCCTCCTCCTCTCTGGCCGCCTGCTGCCCGCCTCCAGCCGCCAACACAGCGGTCCCATCTGCTTTCTATCTTCCAGGAATTCCTCACAAACCTCTTTTTTTTTTTTTTTAAATTATTATTATTATTCAAAACACAGGCCGAGGAAGCCGGAGAGTGAGAGCCCGCGCAAAAGTTACAGCAGGAAAGCAAGAGAACACGAACAAGGGAGCAAGAGGGCCAGAGTGGACTTTCCACATGCCAATTATTTTTACTCAATTTAGGATTTTTCACCAGAGAAGAAAAGCCCCGTGTACAGTCCACCATCTTGATCCAAACTTTATATTTTCTGCCTGATGATACTTGTTAAATATATGTTTTGTGAATTTAAAGGAAGTATACTGACATTGCAGAGATTTTCTAAAAGTCAGTGAAATGAAGAGATGAAGTTAATATCGATTTACCATCTAGACATAGACAAAAAATACTCTGATTTCTGTTCTCTTAATAAGTATGTGCTCATATTTTACGATTGGGAACATATTCATACTTGTAGAGCTTTTTTCCTTTCATTTACATCACAAACGTTTCTGTAGTGTTTAAAATGCTGGAAACCATGATGCTTAATGATTTCACAATATTCCTTCATAATATTCTTTGATAATCTATTTATTTTGAATGGTGTGTTACAAAAGAACCAACAATGAAACTTACCTTCAAATATAATTTGCTAAATTTGCCTAAAGCATGTTCAAAATAATATTGAAGATATATGTACATGTAAGAGCTACATATAGATCAGCATACAGGATAACCTATAACAATGTAAGAGAAGGATATTAAAAACCAATTGTGGATTCAATTTTGTGGAAGGAGAAAAATGAAAGGGGTTTGTGTGTGCGTATGCATTTACTATTTTTCTGAATGTAAAATTGCTGCATGATTATGTAAAAAACCTGAAGGTTAGGAAACAGCAAAGATCTGTGATCCACCATGGCAAAGCAAGCAGTGCTCTGACTTCTCTGTTAATGATAGTTGGTGAGAGCTAATGGTAAAAATTTTTGCTTATATGAGGTACTGTTAGGGAAAATACTGCGAAAATACAACCCCACTCTGCTCCATAAAGCTAGTACCGATGAAGCTGAGTAAGGTAGAAGGAGGTAGAGCTATTATTAAGAAAATTATTCAAAAAGTAATTACGAATTATCCTGAAACAAATGGAAAAAGCAGAAAATCTCAGTTGAGAAACAGATGTTATTTAAAAGCAATCTAATGTGGACTCCCAAAGAAACTGTTGAACATATTTAGACAGTGGGATGATGGACTGTCTGACATCGTCCGTACTAGCAACGTCGGAGCACACTTAAATAACAGACTGATGGAATTTATAATTATGACTGTTTATGAAGGACTACATTATTGTAATAATATGGGGCAAATCAGTTGGGAGCGGGAATTTGGGATGGAGGTGGGGAAATCTCAGACTCTATGGAATTGTACCATAAAACTCAAAATTGACAAAAAAAAAAAAAGAAAAAAAAAGAAAAGCAATCTAATGATTTTTAGTGTTAAAAACAAAGCAATGCAAAATAAAATATTTTCTTCAATGTAAATCTAAAAGTGAAGGAATATGGAACCAATGTATCTGAAGATTAAAATAATGGAATGTATGTCATGTGAACAGAGAGAAAAGACTTATAAAAAAGTAAGAAATGTCAGAAATGTTTTAGACAATAACATAAGGGTGAGCATAGTTGCTTCAAACAAAGTGAAATGCTCAAGGAAATGTTTATTAAGCTGTGTATAGGATCTGTATTCTAAAAATAGCATATGCTGTCTGAATAAATAAATAAATAAATAAATAAATAAATAAATAAATAAATAAATAAGGAAGACCCGAAGAAATGGAAATACTTATCATGGTCACACAGTGGATGATTTAGCAAAGCAAAAAAATGTCTATTCTCTCTTAACTGACCCATTACTTTAATTCAACTTCTGTAAAAACTTGAGCAAAATTTTTCATAGATAAATAAAATGTCCTAAAGCAGTGAAACTAATTTGGAAGGAAGCATATTGCTTAAACAATTGCTTTACCCTAACTCAAGGCTTACTTACTGTGCAGCTATAGTAATTCAGGAAAGGAAGCACTTCCAGACCAATGGAGATACAGCTTAAACAGAGAATTCAACATTAGATTCATACAAAGATGTCCTATATAGAATTGCCAGAAGTACAAAAGAAAGTGCAGCAGCAAGCCAGAGCAACAGCCTAGTGGCTAAATCCTTGTCTTACATGTACCAGTATCCCATGTGGGTGCCAGTTTGTATCCCAGCTGTTTGCTTCCCAGCCAGCTCCTCTGTCTGTGGTCTGGGAGGGTGGTGGGTGATGACCCAAAGCCTTGGTGCCCTGCACCCACATGGGAGACCTAAAGGAAACTATGGGCTTCAGAACAGTTTAGCTCCAGTCCTTGATGCCACTTTGAAAGAGTACCAGTTGGTAGAAGACCTTTATCTCCTTCTCTCTGTAGAACTTCCTTTCAGATAATAATGAATAACTGCTTTTAGAAAGAAAGAATAAAAGAAAGAAAGGAAGAAAGAAAGAAAGAAAGAGCAAGCAAGCATGAGACAGAAAGGAAGAAAAGAAGGAGGGAGGGAGAAAGGAAGGGTAAAGAATGGAAGGGAGGAAGAGGGAGAGAGAGAGAGAGAAGAAAAAGAAAAGAAAAAAGAAAAAGAAAAGAGAGGCAAGATTGTGGCATCAGGTACAGACACATTTGATAAGACGGAGAATCTTTAGACAGATTGCAGGGAAAAAAATAGGGTTCAGTCAGTAAGCAGAGGCTACCGGGAGAGCCCATGGACACAGGAAAGCTGCGGCAATGGGACAGCAGTGTTGCAGTGCACCAAAAACCCAGCAGCAGTCAGTGAGCGGCAACTCTGAACCCGGTAATCTAGGCTCCTTTGATCCAGTCTACAGTAATCCGTTTCCAGCGCCAGCCAGACATCCAGCAGTGGCCTCCACACAGCTCTTGTGACTGCCAGGTGAGAGCATGGGTCCGCATGGGGAGCTAAGAAAGCGAGTATAGTCTGGGAGCTGATAATCAAGCTGAGTGACTGGAACCAACCACAGGTGGAGAAAGAGTAGGAGACTCAAGGTGCCATCTTTTGTGGAGAGGTGGAATGCGGAGTTGACGGAGTGGCACAGAGGAAACTCATTTCTGGTTGATCACAGGGAACTGATCCAAGTGGGGAGAGGAGCACCAGCTTCACTCCCTGCAGGGTTGGAGTGGTCCCTGGAGCTGAAAGACAGTAGCCCCAATTCTCCACTAGTGTCCCACCTGGCGCCATCTTGGGTAAGAGGGCAAGTGTGGGCCCCAAGCGAAAGTCAAGAATGGGCATATTACTAACTAATTGCACTGAGCTGAACCCACAGCACCAGCCTTGCAGCCGATAGGAACTGTGTGGTACCTGGAGCTGATGTTTGACAGCCCATTGATCATTGTTGGTGTCCATACAGGTGCCATCTTGGACACTGATGCAAGTGCTCCAAATACTGATAAACTGCAAGAGGAGGAGTGGTAAACTGCGCATGCTCTAATTCAGCAGCTCCCAGATGTCAGTGTCACAGGACCAGACAATGTTACACTGAAGGGAGGACAGTTGAGTCGCCAAAGAACTAAGTTGAAACAAAATCACCACGATCTTAGAGCACTGCACAGGCTCCACAGAAAAAACAGCCCCTACAAGGCACGCCACCAACTTCACCCAAAATAACTACAGGAGTTAATCAGACTTATCAGCCAGCAAGGGGATACAAGATCAGTGTTACCTACAAAATCAGTGCCCCGGACAAATCAATTATTCAGGACAGCTCTATTTCCCAATCCAGGGCACTGCTTGAACATAAAAAGTCAACTTGTAAACATGTAGGTAATACACCATAAAGATGATTTCGTCAACCAGTTTGGCAACTAGAAGGGTAAAAGAAAAGACAAATGCGCTATGAATGTTACTGAAGACTCCAACAAAGGAGCAAAAGCGTCATCCACTCTCAGTTAACTGAGGAAAACATTGAGAAAATGGGGCACAAAGAACTCAGAAAACTTCTTATAAAGCTACTGATCAGCAATGAGGAGTACAAACAAGAGTTCAAACAAGAAATAGCGGTAATATATCAAATTAAAGCTGATATATCAGAAATTAAGAACACAGTGGAGAGTCTCAAAAATAAAATGAATGAGACAGAAGAAAAAAACTCAAAATTGGAAGATATTTCCTGTCACCTTGAGGAAACAAGAAAAAAGCTGGAAGCAGAGCTGGGTCAAGCTAAAAACATTATCGAAGAATTAAAAGATATGATTCAAAGGTCCAACATAAGAGTAATG